GTGGGCATGTTCACCTTCCATTTTGTATGGTATTTGCCACATGTTGGCATGTTCACCTTCCATTTTGCATGGGATGTTCTACATGTGAGCATGTTCACCCAAATATTTACAGATGCAGAAGCTTGGGATTAGATAAAAAGCGGGTGGGGGGGATTGAGGGAGGGCGCTAGCTATCTATCCAGCTAGCTAGCTATCTAGCTATCTAGCTAGCTATCTATCTAGCAAGCTAGCTATCTATCTAGCAAGCTATCTATCTATCTAGCTATCTATCTACCTCTCTAGCTAGCTATCTTGCTAGCTATCTATCTACCTATCTAGCTGTCAAGCTAACTATCTATCTAGCTATCTAGCTATCTAGCTTTCTATCTGTCTAGCTATCTATCTATCTAGCCATCCAGCTGTCTATCCAGCTATCTAGCTATCGAGCTATCTAGCTAACTATCTATCTAGCTATCTAGCTATCTAGCTTTCTATCTATCTAGCTATCTATCTATCTAGCCATCCAGCTGTCTATCCAGCTATCTAGCTATCAAGCTATCTATCTAGCTATCTATCTATCTAGCTAACTATCTACCTATCTATTTAGCTATCTATCTATCTATCTAGCTATCTATCTAGCTACCTCTTTATCTATCTAATTCTATCTAGCTAGCCATCTATCTTTCTAGCTATCTATCTAGCCATCTATCTATCAAGCTATCTATCTAGCCATCCATCTATCGAGGTATCTAGCTATCTATCTCTCTAGCTATCTATCTATCTATCTAGCTATCTATCTATCTATCTATCTAGCTGGCTATCTATCTATCTAGCTATATATCTACCAAACTATCTATCTATCCAGCTATCTATCTATCTATCTATCTATCTAATCTATCTAATCTATCTAATCTATCTATTCTATCTATTCTATCTATCTATCTATCTATCTATCACATGTAATCCTGTCAGCTTTCCAGAGAAGGTTAGTTCGCAAAAACCAACTAATGTAACTTGGGTTTAAGTTTAAATAAAAAAAAGCGGGAGGGGGGGATTGGGGGAGGGCGCAGCGCCTCCCCCCAAAGCAGAATGCAAGCACCTCTTCTCACATGTTACGTTGCTAGTTTTCAAGAGAAGGTTGGTCATGTGATACTCAGGGATGTAAATGCTGTGCAAAATGCATCTTACATGAAAATCAAGTATTTAAAGCAGGCAAAGCAAAAAAAAAGCAGAGAAGCAAAAAGCAGAGAAGCAAAGAAACAGGAAACGCACAAAAGCAAAACAGCAGAAAGGCAAAGAAGCAGGAAAAGCAGAAAAGCAGAAAAGCAAAAAAAGCAGGAAAAGCAGGAAAAGCAGAGAAGCAAAGAAACAGGAAAAACAGAAAAGCAAAAAAGCAGAAAAGCAGAGAAGCAGAGAAGCAGGAGAAGCAGAAAAGCAAAAAAGCAGAAAAGGCGAGAAGCAGGAGAAGCAGAAAAGCAAAAAAGCAGAAAAGCAGAGAAGCAGGAAAAGCAGGAAAAGCAGGAAAAGCAGGAAAAGCAGGAAAAGCAGGAAAAGCAGGAAAAGCAGGAAAGCAGAAGCAGGAAAAGCAGGAAAAGCAGAGAAGCAGGAATCCAAAAATAATTCCTAAACCTGATCAAAAAAAAAATCCTAAAATAATTAGCCCTCCAGTGTAAAGTGTAGAGTGTAGTGTGAAGTCTACAGTGTAAGGCGTGGAGTCTAAAGCGTGAAGTGTAAAGTGTAGAGTGCGCAGTGTGAAGTGTGAAGCGCGGAGTGTGGAGTAAAAAGTGTAACGTGTAAAGTGTGGAGTGTAGAGTGCAGAGTGTAAAGTGCAGAGTGTGAAGTGGAAAGTGTGGAGTGTAAAGTGCAAGGCGTGGAGTGTAAAGGGTAGAGTGTAAAGTGTAAAGTGTGGAGTGTAAAGTGTAGAGCGTGGAGTGTGGAGTAAAAAGTGTAACGTGTAAAGTGTGGAGTGTAGAGTGCAGTGTGTAAAGTGCAGAGTGTGAAGTGTAAAGTGTGGAGTGTAAAGTGTGGAGTGCGGAGTCTAAAGTGTAGAGTGTGAAGTGTAAAGTGTGGCGTGTAGAGTGCGGGGTGTAAAGCGCAAAGTGTGGAATGTGTAGTGTAAAGAATAGTGTGTAAAGTGTAGAGTGTGGTTTGTCCAGTGTAGAGCGTGGAGTGTAAAGTGCAGAGTGTCCGAAATACTGCGCCTGCCACGCAAAATGACATTCCACACACAACGGATCTGGACCAAACACCGCCCACGCCACCCAAAATGACACGCTCACGATGTCGTACGCCTGCCACGCGATTTGCACGTTGTCACCACGTCACCCAGCCCTGACAATGCGATTCGGAAAAAACACGCAAAAGCACGCGTCTAAAGTGCTGCACCTGCCACACAAAATCATGATGGAGGTATCCAAAGTGCTGCGCCTGCCACGAGAATTCAACTCATCTTCTGAAAACCGTGCATAGGTATCGCGCTTGTCACACAAAACGACGTTCGACACTTTTGCAGACACGTCAAAATGTCACGAAGTGCCGCGCCTGCCACGCAAAACGACATTTTAGAATCTGTTTGGAAACCTTCGAACATGAAAGGTTTTGCAGCTTCCCCCATAGACACGGCGACGCCACAAGAACACCAGAGCATGAAGACGAGACATGTTGGAAGCTCAAAACGAGCGTTTCGCGCGACTTCTTCAAACCAGCTCCAAGACCGACGTTTTCCTAGCAGTTTTTCTTAACGAACCCTAAAATCAGCTACCATGCAAGTTGCATGTTGTCGCCACTTGACGCAGCCCTGACAATGCGATTTTAAAAAAAAAACACTCTAAAGATCTCTAAGGTGCTGCGCTTGCCATGCAAAGTGACGATGGAGGTCGCCAAAGTGTTGCGCCTGCCACGAAAGATGAAAGTCATCTTTTAAAAACGACACAAAAATATTGCGCCTGTCACACAGAACGGCTTTGGACACGTCATCAAACATGTTGGAAGGTCACAAGTGCCACGCCTCCCACGCGACGTTTGAAACCTCCAAAACTGACCACTTTTGCACGGCCATGGCGACCTCGCGCGAACGGTTGCGGACGGTGGCGAACGGTGGCGGACGGTTGCGAACGGTTGCGGACGGTGCGCAACGTCGAGCGAACATACCCTCAACCTCCAGACCCCCAGAGTGAAACGGGAACCCTTGCTACGCATTCGGGAAAAACATGTTGAAGAGGCGAACACCACGGCCCAGAAATTTTGACTACGTAGGGTGAATGCTGGACATGTAAACGCTCCAGGCATTTCTCTCTGCACAGATTTCAAATGACTGGTAGGCCGGCTCAACCAATCGCCAACTGACACACAACCAGGACATCCACATCAGCTCTACCTGCTTGCCTGCCTACCTACATTGCATTGCATGTCAGTTCATTCCGTTGCAGTACATTCCGTTCCTCTCCATTTACTGAACATTACTCTCCATTACAGTACATTACAATACATTACATACCATACCATAAGATACCATACGATATTGCCATGGCTGTGACATGAAGTCATACAAGCACTGTCCGCCACCCACTTGACGCTGGATATTCAGCTTTGATTCATAGCCGTCATAGCCCAATGCTCACGGAACAACATCGCCCGGGCGGCGAGTCAACTTACCGCAGTCGCAGAGCACCAAATGACTCAAATGACCAATACCTCCTAACCAAACCCAAGCAGCCAAAAGCACCTGAAACTACAGGACCAGGAGAAAAGAGCAAACCTTCCTGCAATATTCCCCCATGTGACTAGCAGTGACTAGCCAAGCAACCAAGTCTTACATGGCAAAAAGATGCAAAAAGCACCATCGAACGTTGACCAAAACATCAGACTCGAGTGAGAAGTACTGCAACGCCGGTACTGAAGACAGCATCCACTTCTGAAACAAATCCACTCACACGGAGTAAAACATAGTAAAACATAGTAAAACATAGTAAAACATAGTAAAGCTACCATGAACACGCCAAAACAAATGATTCCTACTCCACGAGAATTGAACCAGTTGGAATCAACAGGCAGACTGTTCGGAGAGACAGCTGCAGCATTGGGTGAGGCATCATCCAGTACCAGAAGACCAATACGGCTTTCAAATCTTTCAATAATTAACATGGATTTCCATGGATTTTCGACTGAGGCAGGTCACGTTAAGTTGGGGGAAGAAGCAGAGGAAGTTGCAGTTTGTGTTGCTGCTGGTTCTTGTCCTGCTGGTCCTGCTGTCTCAAACTCAGACCTGCGTCGTTGACAGCAAAACCCCCAAAGTAAGCCGACTGCTCGCGCATGACATCGTGAACCATGAAATACCAGGTTATGTACCAGAAATACAAATGAAACTGGATCGTGGATTCTGTAGCACTGTAGCCACTGAACGTCACAAGCACTGCTCACATTTTCACTCGTGCCGCTTCCATGTGCGCCTTGGTCTCGTGAAACTGAGCCTTCGCCACTGGAGCGCTTCTCTGAGTCGAGCCCAGTCTGGCAAGACTCAAAACTTCCCAGAAAGAATGGCTTTCCCCTTCTCCGTGTACTTCATCCTTCTGCCAACTGAAGCACAGTTGCCATCCTTGGCATGTGCTCGCAGGACCAGCGTGTAGCTAAGGTCATTGGGCAAGCCCCACTCCCTCTCGAACTTAAAGTCTTAAGTCAAAATTGGGGAATATCTCATATCACTTTCAACAGCCGGCAAGCAAACACGGAACAATCCAACTAGCCACCTTTCGATCCAACTCCGGCACCCACGAACAAGTCCACGCGCCGTCAACGAGTTCCATATCAAACAGATCGGATCGGCTCATAAATGAGCGAAATATGAAGGAATGGCAGTGAAATCCGCGACGGTTGCGCACCAAGGGCTGTCTTGCAATGGCACCCTAGAAGGGTGCTTGAGCTCAATCCCTAGAGCGGAAAGATCAACCAAGTATACAGCGCACATCAGATGTCCACATATAATGCACAACGGCTTCAGTACAACCGATGCTGCTCAGACTTTGGCACAATGCAATTGAAGCAGGTCCTTTTGCTCTCTCAGGCTTTGCCTGTAGATGGAAGTCATAGGTTGCTTTGAACCTTTCATTGTTTAATTCGCTTCAGGTCATCAAGAGGTTGTGTTGAGGTTTCTGTCGAACTTTGGAGCCTTGACTGCAAGTGGCCAGAGATTCAACTTTGCATCTTTGACCCCTCAAACCGCAGGGCTTCCTCTCCACGCTTCAGACTCAGATTCAAAATCTCTATTTTTCTTGTGGGTCATCCATCGTCATCGTCAAATTTAGGGCCGAGGAACCTCATCCTCAAAGCAGAGTAGTGACGTAGTGTGTACAGGACCAGCTTCACTGCCGCAAGTCTTAGCATCAAGTTCACTTTTTGTGTTGTTAGCACGCAGTACCTCGCCGTAATCCACATGTTCCATCCTGACTTCCCTGTTCTATGTCACACAAATTGCCCAGGGAGCCTCCTGTTCGCTGGCAATCTGCAGGGAAAAGCCTCCAAGCATGGCCGGCAGGGCCATCTTGTCTCCACACAGCTCCAGCTGCGGTTGGCTTCCAAACCCCAGCCTTAAGGAGATCCACCGCCGTTCAAAGCAAGCATGTTGCAGCACAGCTCCACCGGCTCCACCAGCTCCAAGCTCCAAGAGCACTACATGCTGTGCCTCCATGGAAATTTCAAGGGAACGGTTGGAACTGCTGATCAGCACACGGAACTCCCGAGCCGTGGTTTGGACCTCCAGTTCTTCACCTCGAAGTTGCCCCAAGCCACTGGCACGATAGCGTGCCCCCGCTTCAGTGCGCAGGGTGCGGCACCAAGAGGAGCCCACTGGGACCAGAAGCTCCAAACCCTGGTCCTTGGCCATTAGAAACATCTTCTCCTCGCTTTGTTTTTTCAACTTCTGTTGCCTGAAATCACCTCCCCACCACTGTTCGCTGGCCCTGCTTCTGCCTTCGGTGTCCTCGCGGCCCAGGAAGTTCTGCATGGCAGGCCATCTCTTCAGATCCCCAGCGACGTGCACCAACGCGGCAGCTTCACCACAGGCGCAGCAGGGCTGCCCAATTCGACTCGGATGGCAGTGCCGCAAATGGCCACCACCTTCCTGCTCAGCATAGAGGCGGACACGGCCCTGGCGAGATCCCGAGATGGGAAGAAACGCGAAAGCCATTAGAAGATCCACTGGATCTGGGCAGTACAGCTCCACCTAGCAGACGTTCCACCATGTGTGGCCCCGGTGACACTTTTTCATGATGTTCCTGGATTTTGTGACTTCATGTGATTTCCCTCTTCAGTCTTGCCAGATTATGTATAGAAGTTGAACTTGCAGTATACATCGGGGAACAGCGTGAATTCCCCCATCAGTAGAACCTATCAGTTTCTTTGGCTGCACCTGCGTCGAGGACACCAGGCCCGGATAGCGGATGCGCTGGAAGAGTTCCGGATGCCAAAGGTCAGGCTTGGACCAGGCTGGGTGCCAATCCACTGCAGGGAACAATGACCAGCGGCAGGGCAAAATCCTCATGATCTTCCCATCCTCCAAGCTGCCCAAGCTGCGCAAGCTGCCCAAAAAGTCTTCATCATGCAGCATGTTCAGAAAATTTTGATCCCGCGGGCATATTCCATCCCCCCTCTCCACTTCCCAAACAGCCGCCCGCAAGGTGAGTTCTGTGAAGTTTCCCTGCCGCATGCGGCGCAGGTTGTACAGCACGAGGCCAGCATTGAGGTGTTGTCCCAGGGCCCAGGCATAGGACACGGCCAGGAAGTGCTGCTCCAGCTCCGGCCGGAGCTTCCATAGCTCCACAATGTCCTCCAGGACTAAAACATCGCCCACATCCATCGAAATAACCCAATCCACGTCTTGTGGAAGCCTCAGGTGCTGGGACCCAGTGGACTAGGCTATGATGGCTACGGCCAATATTGGCCACTCAATGTGTGATAGACTGTGATAGTGTGTGTTTATCTACGTAGATAAATCTACGTATATATCTCTCTCCCTCCATGTCTGTGTGTGCTAGCTAGCTATATAGTTCCTAGCCAAAGCAAATGCAATACCACGCAGGGACTTAGTAAATTAGGATCTCAAGATGTGGTGACGGCACGCATGTACTAGCAGACTAGCAAAATTGCACTCCGGACTATGTAACTTCTGACTGCCCTGGCGGCAAGGCGCAGCTCGTGGCACAGCGCTCGCGCCAGCATCGCTAGCTCGATGCCGTGCTGAAAATTGCAATTCGAGGGGTACCGCTTCCTTGGATGAGGCATAGGTGCAAATCCTAGCCCGGAAGCCACCTAAAGAATGAAATGGATGTTGGAAAGAAAAGGTTGCACCTCTGATCTTTGGAGAAAAGCAAGCCCCAAGCCTGAAGGATTGCGCGCTACTCGTTTGGAGAAGCTAGCTTACTATGAGTTGCTCAATACCACCGGTCACCAAGCATCATGTACCTCTGAAAGCTCTCCAGGTGTGCAAAATCAATGCGCTCAAACGACACGCCCTGCAGTGAGATCTCAGTTTTCTCAGCTTTGCCCCAATTATTTTGGCCATCAACGCCATCCGCATAGCCAAGGGCCTCCCAAGCCTCTGTCCAATCTTCCCAGCCCACGGCGTCCGACAAAACAAAGATCCTGAGCCTGGCATGGCTGGAGCGATGCCGCAGCAAACTCTGAAGGGTTACCAAGGCGTGCTGCGCCCATGGCCCGACGCAAACCACCTGCAAAGCCACCGTGGGGTGCTCTGGGTGAGGACTCGCCTCTTTAAGGCTAGAGCCGACCTCCAACTGCACCCGCGGAATCAAGGAGTACATCAAGAAGTCATGATTGGCAGCAGCAGCTTTGTATTGGAAAAGCAGCTCCGACATTTCACAAGACTCAACTGCAACTTCAGTCACCATTCTTCCAGTAGCGGTGGCAATGTGCCACAAGCAGAACTGCTGAAATCCTTCGATTCGATGCATGGTCTTCACCATTAAACGACTCAACTTGATGGCGGCTGCCCCGATGCTGACATCCAATATCTTTAGGCCACTCTTGAACTCAAACATCCTGAAATTTGCTGCTTGGGCGGTGCCTTTCACCAAAAGTCTCCAAGCATCCAGGCTCAACAAATCAATGTCACGCAGGAAGTACCACAACAAATTCATGGTTTCTTTATGATCCTCGTGCTCTGGTGCTACATCTGCAAGGCTCAGGAATGTGGCTGTGGCATCTTCAGTGCAACACTTCGTATCTTGAAACTCCAGGGGACATCCTGCGAGTTGCGGAGTGGTAACTTCGAGGTTGGGGCAACAGGTCACATACAGCGACAAGCTTGGGAAGCAGAAGGCCCCATGGAGGCCCCACGGCATCACAGGGGTTCCAGCCGCATCTCGCCATGCAGTGCTGCAACATGTGCCAACAGGATCTGGCCTACTATCAAGCTTACGGGTGAAAAATGACTGCAGAACATGTAGCATGCCATTTCTGGAAGAACACAACCAATCCCAAACAAATTCTATGTACTTTGAGCATAGCAGCCTCATAAGTCTGCCGGGTCTACCGCTAGCTGTTGCCAGCAAACGGAAATTTTCCTCAGCCTTGACTCAGACTCACTGCGGTAAAACGAGGCATCTTGCAGATGCACACAGTGACGACGGCAGACGAGAGTCTGCCAAACTCATGTTCTCCGTTTCGCGCTGCATTGGACCAAATGCTGACACCTCTCTGCCAGTGACGTCTTTATCCCCTTCCAACGCCCAAAATGTTCAACAACCTGCCAGCGCCAGAGCGTTCTTGCCCTTGGCTGCGGGCACGCTGAGCCTGATCGTGCAAACCCATCTGTTGGTAGTACTGTGCTTGCTGTTCAGAGCTCTTCACCTTGGGGACCAGCGCCAAAGCAAAGTCTTGACGGCCATATTTCCTGAGTCGAAGGGGCGGACCTTGTGGCATGGGCACCATTGCAATCCTAGCGCCTGTCACCGCCCTACGCCCCATTGCGGCCAAGCTACAGGAAGGTCTCAACAAAAGGTTCGTAGCCAATGGGTGACGTCACCTGAATTGCCGGACCATGGTGTCATGTTTTGTATGTTTTGCATGTTCTGTGCAAGAGACCTTCATGTTCTTCACCAGTTCTGGGAGACACGTGGCATCGCTACCTTAAAGATTAAAAAAAAAACTTTTATAATGTGGCCAAACCTAACAATAAACTCGGATTGGGCATGATTGGGCGCACTTTGAGAAATATAACCCCCCAGGAAAAAAAGTAAGTCATTGGCTGTGTTGGTTTTCACGTGTTTCCACCATGGTTTCCCACCCAAGGTTTCCCACCCAATCCAACAATAAGGATAATAAGATATGAATTTAAAAAAAAAACTGTCCCAAACCTTTCCTCCCATTCCATCTCCGCATTGTTCCATTATAACTATTCATCATGATATCGTTCATCACAATCATCCTCACAAAATCTTCCCAAAATATCCCATCCCATCATCCCCCCATCCCATTCCCATCCCGTTCCATCATATTTCGAAATTCCGTCATAATATATATATATATAATTACACTCACATTCCATCATAATCCAATAGAATTATTGGTCACAATCGTCGTCGTCGTCATCATCACCATCATCAACAACATCACTATCGTCATCCTCATCCTCATCGTCATCGTCATCGTCATCGTCATCATCATGGGCATCACCATCATCATCATCATCATCATCATCATCATCATGAATCTCTATATATATATCATTATATATCAATCCAATTGCCAAACCATTTCATCCTCTCCAGGTGTCCAGGTCGCAATGGCAAAGGCGTTCAGCTCCTCAAAGCTCCCCGCCGCCGCCAGGCCGCGGATCTTGATGCGCCAGTAGCGCTTGTCCGAGACCTTCATCCGCGTGCGCAGCTCGTTGGCCTCACGGACCTCGCCCAGTTCCAGCAACTTCACCAGGGTCGTCACAAGGGGTAGACCTGGGAAGATCGGGATGGGGGAAAGCAGGGAAAAGCACTACTTTTTTCAGATTGCTAGCAGGATCTAAATGTGATCCGAGGCAAAGCTGTGAAGAGATCCAAGGCAAATGTGCATATTTAGAAGTTGACATGGTTTAATGTCATTTAATGTCTTGATCAACAATGGATCTGAAAGCTACAAACATCCAAAATCTGAGTTGAGTCTGACTTGAATCTAAGGAGTTCAACTACCAAGACACCCAAGAAACGCTGAGGTGTTGAACCAAAAGAACGACCCCAGCTCTTGGCATTGGCCTTTTCCTCCAAGGTGAGTTGAGCTGCCAGCAGATCCATCTCCTCAACACAGGCCTGGGCCATGAATTGCATGGAAGATTTCTCGGAATCTGTGGCTGAGGGATCATTGATGCCAAACAAATCCTTGGAGAATCTCAGCAGTTTGGTCCTGTCCAGGGAGTCCAGGCTTCGACTGACTGAAAAACATCATCCCCACTGGGCAAGCACATAGACGTATCTTGGGCAATTTTGCCATGATTTGCTGCTCCAAGATCTAATCTAAACTGCAGAAAGTAGACAAAAACTCAAGAAAGTCGTCACTTGCTTCAAGTCCCAAGGTATACGCATCCAAAACCCCCCATTAAATCCGCATAAGTCTGCCATCAAAACTGCCATGTTGATCCATTGTTTCAGGTGCCCCCGCACTATTTGGGCAACAAACCGTAACCCATGGGCTTCCCAACATCCCCAACCCCAACCGCCGTCCTTTCGTCGTAGTTCTGCTGCCGGAAGACCCGGTGCAACGCCGCGAAAGCGGCCGGGCGCTTCCGGTCCAGGAGATCGTTCAGCATTCGCGCGCGGTCGAACTGCTCCCGGGCCAGGAGCTGCTTGGTGACCATGTCACCTGGCGGCAAGGGAGCACCTGAAAAATTCAACGTTAATGGTGAAAATCATGTTCCCAAATATGAGGATATATGGGGCATGTATGGGCATGTCATATCCCAAAGAAGCTTTGATAAAAACGCCATGTAGTGACATGTGGGAGTTGCTTGATAAACATGGGTTACTGTATATGATGCTTAGGATTCACAATTAAATGATGTTCGACTCTACTTCTCCTAGGGTGCTTAAAAAGTGTTGTCTCCAACCCGGCCTACCACTTGCAACTCATAGAGTTTCTCTTTGATGAGCCGAGCACAGCTCTGGATGTCAGATCCTCTCTCACAGGGGTCACCCATACAAGCAGCTGAGATGGCCGAATTCATGAGATCTGGATCCCAACTGCGTGCCGCTTTGTCCAAGGCCAGCCGTAGCATGATTTCCCGATCCTTCCTGGCCACCAGGCTGGCGAGCAACAAATCATTTGGGAGGGCAATGGCAAGGGGCAAAAAAGGAAAGAACAAGCAACAGGAGACCAACAGGAGACCAACAGGAGACCTCAGGTAAAGCTAAGCGTCTCATCCCCTTCTCTGCTCAGCTGCACCAAGACCTGTACTTGTGCATGGCTTCGAGGCTCATGATTCAACAGCACGGTGGCCAGATGTGGTCTGTACATCTCAGCCGCTACCCGGGCCACATCTGCAAAACCTGAAGTCACAGCGGCCTGACCCCTGAAGCCCCCCCCCAATGGCACTATATACTCAAGCCAAATGTGTAGTTGGGGTTGTCTCAAGAAGGGAAACGCAAAATCCATCAAAAATTGCCATGTTTGTGGCATCTGCCATTGGGCTATAAACCCACACACTAAGGTCCATCACAGCTGAATATTCCGCTGGTAATCAAACATGGCTACCTGGAAAATCCCTCATTTTGTCCAATGATGTTCCTATTCAAATACAAAAAAAATAGTTCTGGTGTTTCCAAGCCAGACATGTTTGATTACCGGATGGGAACTCATAACTATATAATCACCATGAAGCGCCACTATTGATATGAAACATCATCAACCACTATGAACCATCATTGACCGGTATTTATCATTACTATCATTACTATAATTACTAACCATCATTATGAAAAATCCTTGGCCATGTCCATGATGAACCCAGAGCTGTTCAGCATTTCTGAAGTCCCAGGAGCCGATCCCCGGACAGCGCTGAAACTTCTCCAGGATCGTCTGGCAGAGCTGCTCATCCGTCTGGGCCGATCCCCGGGCCGCGCGAATCTTCTCGCAGGCCCAGTGGAAGAGCACCTCGCGGGGACTCAGGGGTGAACCATGGGATCCCGGTGATCGAAGCGGACTCTAACATGACACAAGGTCAACAGCATGGATTTTTTTGGGCCATGGCGGCCTCCACTTCATGGAGAGGATCCTTGGGGGATAAAAGATGATAAAAGTAAAAGTAAAAACTTGACTTGGGGATCATCATCCCCATTTTTGGTGGGTGGGAAGAAGGAAAACAAGTAATTAACAAAAATGATATGGAAACCAATATATCCCTAAATCCTTGACATTTTTGACAACAATCCCAGCTTGACAGAAACATGTTGCTAAACGGCCAAACGAAACCTTGTCGGAGGAATGGCCAACCCACTCGCAGATCCGCATGGCCAACAGGTGGTAGTGCCGCTGTGCCAGTCTCTGGCTCAAACCTGTGGCCAGCATAAAAACTGTACTTTGGGACGGCGGAAGCTCTGCTGGGTGAATAAGGCATGCCCTAGGCCCCATGCCCTCCAACTGTCCAAATCCTCGCATTTTGTTTAACGAAGTCCGTCAGGCATTGGCAACGTAAACTTGGGCCCAACTCCCATTAAAAGCCAACCACTTGACCAGTCCCAGTCGGAATCCACCAACACTTGAGTCACTTGGGCATCTTGCGCCCCATATGGGCCAGCTGCATCCCACCGGGTCCCACCGGGTCCCGCCTGCCATGCCCAACTTTTCCAGCTGCGCGGGGGTGATGGGAATCTCGATGGGCGCCTTCCGGAGCTCCCGACAAATCCGAAGGCTTCGGCAGACCTCACAGGGCCGAAGAATGACGCGCCGCCCTGCTGGTGAAGCATCTCCAGAAAACTAACTATGATGGGTTTGGAATGAATTTTGAAATATATTGTTGGGTCACCAGAAGTATCATCAGTATCATGAGCAAATCCAAGTTGTGTGTGAGGCTGTGATTCAGGCCGTCGTGATGGTTTCTGCCGGTGGTTCCAACGGCCTCGCGATGTCTGTCAGGGCATCCAGGGGTCTCCGTCAAAAAGTGTCGCCCAAAGCTTGCAGCTTTCAGAAGATTGTTAAAGGCGGGCGCGTCCTGAAAAAGGCTCCAGCTGGATGTGAGGCAACAAGATTTTGAAGCAAACATAGATGGATGGCAACTTATGCAAATTACACCACCGTAGGCCCCAAGTTTGACAGTGGGTGGATTCAATAAGTGCTTAGAGGAACAGGGTCGAGTCAAACACATGAACTAGCAGCGGCGGGAATCGTGAAAATGCCCGCAATGCGTTCCGGAAATCATTTCACCTTTATTTTGTTCGACTTCCCTAGCTCTGTCGCAACACTAGATACCGAAAAACAAAGGGAAACAAGGAGGAAGACAAGCTGGGAGACAAACTGGGAAACAAGGGAGACAAGGCCTCGGGAAGACGGACACACCATCCAACGAAGGGAAAAAAAGGAAGACAAACTGGGAGACAAGCTTGGGGACACAGGAAACAAGGCTTCGGGAAGGCGGACACATCATCCAACAAAGGGAAATAAGAAAGGAGACAAGCACACCATCCAACAAAGGGAATCAAGAACAGATTTGGCACAAGCTCGGAGACAAGCGAGACAAGTTGGGGGACAAGTTGGGAGAAGGGAAACAAGGCCTCGGGAAGGTGGACACACCATCCAACAAAGAGAAACAAGAAGGGAGAGAAGACCTCAGGAAGGCGGACACACCATCGAATAAAGCGAAACAAGAAAGAAGACAAGCTGAAGACAAGGGAGACAAGCCCTCGGGAAGGCGGACACACCATCCAACAAATAAAAACAAGGAAGACAAGCTGGGAGAGCTGGGAGAAGGGAGACAAAGCCTTGGGAAGGCCGAAACACCATCCAACAAAGGGAATTGAGAAGCGAGAGAAGCTGGGAGAAAAGGGGAGACAAGACCTCGGGAACACACCATCCAACAAAGGGAACCAAGAAGGGAGCCAAGGGCTCGGGAAAACGGACACACCATCCAACAAAGGGAAACAAGAAGGCGGACACACCATCCAACAAGGGGAAACAAGAAGGGAAGCAATGGGAGACAAGGGGAAACAAGACCCTCGGGAACGTGGACACACCATCCAACAAAGGGAAACAAGAAAGAAGACGAGCTGGGAGACAAGCTTGGAAACAAGGGAGACAAGCCCTTGGCAAGGCAGACACACCATCCAACAAATAAAAACAAGAAGGAAGACAAGCTGGGAGAGCTGGGAGTAGGAAAATTACACCACTGTAGACCCAAAAAAGTGGGTGGATTCGAGTTTTGAGGAGCAGGGCCAAACATATGAAATAGCTGCGACAGGAACCATGAAAATGTCTGCAATTAGTGCCGGAAACCACTTCACGTGTATTTCCCGAGAGCGCCTGCGAAGGGTTCTTCGTAAAAAAGCAGCCGTTATACTAGATCTTCACACCTTCACACCTGCAGATCTAGATCTTCACACCTTCACACCTGCAGATCTAGATCTTCACACCCTCACATCTGCAGATCTAGATCTTCACACCCTCACATCTGCAGATCTACATCTTCACACCCTCACATCTGCTGATCTACATCTTCCCCCCTCACGCCTGCAGATCTAGATCTTCACACCCTCACACCTGCAGATCTAGATCTTCACACCCTCACACCTGCAGATCTAGATCTTCACACCCTCACATCTGCAGATCTAGATCTTCACACCCTCACATCTGCAGATCTACATCTTCACACCTTCACACCTGCAGATCTAGATCTTCACACCCTCACACCTGCAGATCTAGATCTTCACACCCTCACATCTGCAGATCTAGATCTTCACATCCTCACACCTGCAGATCTAGATCTTCACACACTCACATCTGCAGATCTACATCTTCACACCTTCACACCTGCAGATCTAGATCTTCACACCCTCACACCTGCAGATCTAGATCTTCACACCCTCACATCTGCAGATCTAGATCTTCACACCCTCACACCTGCAGATCTAGATCTTCAGACCTTAACATCTGCAGATCTCCTCTCGCTCTTCTTCTATTCTCTCTTAAGGCGGGGGCGGTGCCGCCGGAGCGCCACGAAACGCAACCCTTTCGCACGAAATGGACGTTGGACGTCCAAAACCTAGGTAAAATTGCGATTTTGAAGCGTCGCCGGCAACCCTTTCGCACGAAATGGACGTTGGACGTTAAAAACTGAGGAAAAATTGCAACTTTTATTGGTCGCGCGCAACCCTTTCGCACGAAATGGACGTTGGACGCCAAAAACTGAGGAAAAATTGCGACTTTACTTTGTCCATCGCAACCCTTTCGCACGAAATGGACGTCAAAAACTGAGGAAAAATTGCGACTTTACTTTGTCCATCGCAACCCTTTCGCACGAAATGGACGTTGGACGTCAAAAACTGAGGAAAAATTGCGATTTTACTTTGTCCATCGCAACCCTTTCGCACGAAATGGACGTTGGACGTCAAAAACTGAGGAAAAATTGCGACTTTGAGGTGTCCCGCGCAACCCTTACGCACGAAATGGACGTTGGACGTCAAAAACTGAGGAAAAATTGCGACTTTGAGGTGTCAATCGCAACCCTTACGCACGAAATGGACGTTGGACGTCAAAAACTGAGGAAAAAAATTGCGATTTTACTTGGTTCAATCGCAAC